TTTCTCTTTATGTAGTTGAAGTTGTCTTTTTTAAAAATGCTTCTGGATTCTGAGTCATAGCTAGAAATTACTTCCTCATGCAAGGGACTGCCTCCATGTTTTCTTTTTATATTAGTTATGGTTTAATTACTCTTATATTTAAAGCTTTGGCCCATTTGCACTTTATTCTAGTACATGGTACAAAGTATAAATTCAGTCTCTTCTTTTTTCAGATGGCTACCATTGTCCCATTTCCTGAAAAGTCCTTATTTTCTCCTACTGATTTGAGGTGCCACCCTTATAATAGACCAAACTCATATGTTTTTATTTTATCTTCTGCTCTGTTGGTCTATCAATCAGTCTATTTATGCTCCCACACTATACTGGTCTAACTGCTGACAGTTTATAATTTGTGTAGATGAAAATATAGCTAGTAATTCCCTTCCCATTGTGTCGAGTTGATTCTGACTCAGTGCCCCTACAGGACAGAGTAGTACTGCCCCCACAGAGTTTCCAAGGCTGTAAATCTTTACGGAAGCAGACTGCCACATCTTTCTCCCACGGAGCAGCTGGTGGGTTTAGACCGCCAACCTCTCAGCAGCTGAGAGCTTAACCACAGGGCTCCCTTCTCCGCCAAGGCTTTCATGGCTACTCTTGTTCATTAATTTTTCCGTATAAACTTTAGGATCTGTTTTTGTTTTGTTCCAGAACAGTAATAGGAGTTGTAAGAGCAACAACACTTATTGTCCGTTTTTAGATTTAAAAAGAAGAACCTTGAAATCTTGGACACAGTAGTGATTTCTCTGGCATACATCATACGTATGTATTTAGGTGTGCCCCATTAGCTAATGAGCCCCTCAAGAGCAAGAAACAGCTTATCCCTTCATCCCGGTTCTTAGCACCAAGTAGGGAATCGGTAAATAAAGGAAGGAAATAAAACCTGGTAGCTTTTGAATTATTTTATTTAGATAAATTATTTTTATCATACATTGTTCAGTGTGACAGGGTCTGACATAATAAATGACCGCTGTTGCTCGCCGTGTAAGGGGAAATGAGTGGTGATGATTCGCCAGTTATATTTAGCCTTCACATTACTCTTCTGATTTCATTGTTTCGAAGACTCATTTAAGTGAAGTTTCACCTTTTTTTTTTTTTTTTTTTTTTTAACATTCTTCTTTGTTGGGAGACAAAGCTGAGGCTATAGTTGTGAGTCTTAAAAATGGAAGGATGTGATGGATTACTTCTAGGTAACAGAGATAAGGCCTGTGTGCCTGCTTTTGGTAGTAAATCCTGTTCCCAGACCAACGTTTAAGTGCCTGAACTTTTTGGCTAGTATTAAAATTGTCTCGAAGTGTAATTCCTTTTATGAAGTAAATCATGTTGTTGCTATACCTGAAGAATGCCTACAAATTGCTAGGGCTTATCATCAGTATTACTCAGATATTAGACAGGAGCCTTTCCCATCGTGCCAGAAACCTACATGGGACTCTTAAATTCGAGGATGTTGTTTCAAGTGGTTTAAGTTCTGGCAGTTGCTCTGTAAAAGCTATCTAATCTGCAGGTCTACCTCTCTACAGTTTGTATATTCGACTATATAAAGCCCACCACAAATATGAAGTGAAGAAGCATAGTAAGCATAGGTAATTGATTTGCTAATAGAACTTTGGGAATCTGTCAGGATGATTCAGATATTTTAAGAGGCCTTCTTATTTGAAAAAGTAGGAAAGTGAGACACATGAAATTGTAGCTTGTTTACATTCACAGAGCATAGGTGGTAGCAGAGCGAATGGTAACAACCTTGACCTGGTCCATTGCTCTTAATATACTAGCATGCCAATTCTATTCTTTTTATAAGTGGAAGTAACATTATTTATGTATAAATAAAATGTTTTTGTTTCTCTTTCTTGGACAGACACCAAAAAAAATTACATACATTGGCACAGTTAAAAGTGATCATTCTAACGTGTACATATTGACTGAATTGGGAATGTGCTAATCAGCCACGCGCAAACGTTCTGTTGAGTGTTTCTCATTTTGTAGTTTTAAGACTATATACCTCTAGACGGCAAGCTTTTCTCTGCTAAAATGTAAGCTCCACAGGGCGGTGATTTTAGTCTTTCTGTCGTCGTTGCTGTTTTCTTCACTGGCATACCGCAAATGCATAAAAATGCCTGACACATATTAGGAACTCAAAAAGTATTTGTTGAATGAATGATTAGAATCAGACTCCCTATATACAAATCCTGGCTAATCCCCATTTATTAGCTGTGTAACCTTGGGCAAGTTATACTGTTCCACTGTGCCTCTGTTTCCGTATCTTTAAAATAGGGATAACACTACCAGCCTTATAGGATTGTGGGTAAGAAACGTAAAGAACTTGCTATTTGGCACAATATTAATGGTTGTTGTTGCTGTTACTCAATATTCAGTTACCTGATGGGCTGTTAGCATTTGTTATGTGATTGGTTTGTGGCAAAAATCCTTGCGTTGTTATTGATGTAGAAGATAAAGGAGAATGTTATATGATTGGTTTGTGGCAAAAATCCCTGCGTTGTTATTGATGTAGAAGGTAAAGGAGAATTACTGGAGAGTACCTTAAAGGTCATATAGTTTGTCCCCTCAGGCTTAAATCACTACCAGAGCATGTACTCTGAGGCCATTCCAGACCATCTTTAGGTAGCCTGAAAAAGACAAAATAGTGTATTGAGCCAAAAATCCTTCTCACTTAAAGAATCCATTGGTTTGAGCTTGAGCCCATGGACCTTTCAGAACAAGTCTGTCCTCTTCCATGTAGCAGTTCCTAAAATATTTGAAAACAACTATCATGTCCCGTTGAGAGACAGCTCCAAACCAAACAGCCCTCATGTGTACTCAAGACCGTATGCTCAGCATACTTGGCCCTTGACTCTGGAAGTTCCTATTTCTGACCATCACACAGTAGAGTAGCATTATTGGCCCTTATTGTGGATTCTAGACTTCTAATATAACTAAAATAAGATTGAGAGGGGAGTTCTACAGCTCATTGGTTAGTTCACAGCCGTCACCTAAGTCCCTCAAGTCTTTTTTACGTGTGCCTGATACCCATGTTTCTCCATTTCGTACCTGTCCATTTGGCCTTTCAGGTGTAAGAGGAGGATCTTCCTTTTGTCAAATATTATTTTGCTTTTCTTGTTCCAGTCTGTTAAGGTTTTTTTTTTTTTTTTTTTTTTTTATCTGCCCATAACCCATTGCCATAGGGTTGATTGCGACTCATAGTGACCCTACAGGACAGAGTAGAGGTGCCCCATAGGGTTTTCCTAGTCTGTAATCTTTAAGGGAGTAGATTGCCAAGTCTTTTCTCCCACAGAGTGGCTGATGGGTTTGATCTGCTGACTTTTCAGTTAACAGCCAGTGCTTTAACCACTGGCACTACTAAGGCTCCTTTCTTTTCTTGTTGATCTTCCTGATTCCTTTTCCCTCCCAGTTTCATATGTCCTGCTCTATGTCAGACAGTTAACCCTTTAGTGCTCATGGGTACCTTTATGGACCAAAAGTATTTTTTCTGCCTCTGAAGGTTTATCGGGAAGCTGCTGCACCAGTGATAGTGTGTGCGGTCGTGAGGCAGGGGCCTTTATGACGATTTTAAACTGGAGAAATGGGCATGTGCTGCAGATTACTATTTTTACAGGTTATTGTATGAGGCATCTGAATTTTTGGTAGGAAAAATAGAAATTCTGAAGATTTTTGTTACACATATGTACCAGTATACCCAGGTGGGGACTCGGGTATAATTAGTGGTAGTTCATATTTACTACTAAACACTCAGGGTAGGCTTGTGGGAGGGGGCAAAAAAAAAAAAAAAAATCCATACTACGTACCCAAAATTCAGGCACACTCAATGATTCAGCATGCTTCCATTATTGAAAACACGTGCTATCAACAAAAAACTCAAAGTAGAAACTGACTGGTTCACAAAAGAGTTCCAACAGTTTATTAACCATGAAATTGCAAACATTTATAGGTATGTAGGTTTGTTTTTTTTTGTTTTTTTTTTAAATTATCTATCATTCTTTTTGTTCGGTAGGTTTAATATGCCTGATTCTTTGATCAGTTACATAATATTCCCTAGTAACAGTTAACTGTTGATGTTTAGGTTGTTTCTAAGTTGTTGCTGTTAATTGTACTGCTGCAGTCCATCCTATCAATCATATTTTTGTGTCCTGTAGAACATTTGCTTCTCTTTCTTTTCCAAAATTTCTTGATTATTCTTGCACATTTGTCCTTCCAGATGAACTTTAGATTCTGTTTCTAAATTCCAGTCTCAGACACTGCTTTGGAGATATACTTTAAGGACTGACATCTTAACCGTTAATTCTTCCCATCAAATATTGAAATTCTTCAAGAATTTAAGTGCACTGCACATTTTTGTATGGATTTAGCATGCTTCTGTTTGGATCCCAAAATAAAACAATTGGAAGAGATAAGTAATGGTTTTCTGTTTTCCCTGAGTTTTATGAAATGGGGAACTTGATTATGAAGTCTCAAGTATATGATAATTTTATTCTTCTTGGAATTGTCTCACTTCTTGCGTTTGCCTCTATAGTGGTTCAGTGGAGACCCATTTAAAGTTTTTACAGAAGGACAGTTTGAACTGTATTTTAAGGTTTCACTGCAGATACTGGGCAGATAATTACTAATATAACTAAATAATATGGTCATTGTAGAAGTATGATGATTAGTAACTCTTCAAGGTCATTTTTACTAAGTGGTCCTCAGCATTGAAATTTTAACTCAATTTTGAATTTTAATATTTGAAATTTCAGTAGGAATCAGGAAGTATATATAATTTGAAAGATAGAAAAACATGACTATCCAACTTGATAACAATCTCTTGTGGGATTATCATCTACACAATTTTCTATCTTTTTAAAATAAAATCTTTTCCTGAAGTTCAACTATTTTAAAAATGTTGCTTTTTCCACCATAAAAGAATCTTTATTCTGTGAGTTTTTTTCAACTGACTTTTTTTTTCCCGTTTTTAGAGAAAGTTTCACTGTGCAAATCTGACTTCATGGCCTCACTGGCTGTATTCCTTATATGATGCTGTAAGTAACATACCTGAAACTTTTTGTATCTGGGGTAGCCATGTCATGATTAGAACCAAACATAGTCTTTCATGCTCAGTGATGTTTTATATTCAGAACTAATGGCATTAACTACATTTTGTAAAGTAGAAGGGGCAGAAATCAAATTCTGCTGGATAGACGTTGCCTCTAACGTAAAGACTTCTTAGTTTTTCCATGGTTCCTAGTGGCTTATAACTTAAGGGCAAGATATTATGAGACTTTTCAGGTTTATTAAGCAGTCTATTCGAAATTTTGTTGAGTTGGATAGTGCTTGACATTTAGAAAATTAAATAATCCTACATAATACTGTTTCCGTTTTTTTCTAAACAAGCATAGTAACTTATGTCTCCTGGTCACTATTTAGTGTGCTAATTGATGTATCCATCATTGTTTTTGCTCCTCAGAGTTTAATACCAGCATTGCTACATCTTGCAAACTCACTAAGTGAGACAGACTGCTGGAGTAAATAATCTGGGTTTTGGACACAAAGACTGGGTTCAAAGCTTGATTCTATCACTTACTCTGTAATTTGAGACAAATTACTTCTGTGTCTGTGAAGTGGGAATAATACTGCCCTTGGCACATAGCAGACATTCAACAAATGTCAGTTATTTCTCTTAGTGAATCACCTTGCCCACAAATCTGGAGTCGTAGGAAATCTAAGTGAGTAGGTTTTGAGTACTTATGACCTGCAGACACTAAGGAAACTGCAGTTGATCTCTGCCCTTCAGCAGCTTTTGAACTATTATAAGTAGTACACAATATACAAGAGTATTTTTGTATGCACTGGGAAAAAAATAATAAGCAATTTTATGTAGTAAATAGATGCCAGGTAAGGTATGGAAATAGCAGGTGCTAGAGCAATTTATAGGCGCTACATCTCTCTGGACTGAGTCAGAAAAGACTTCATTGAAAGGAGAAGAGGGGCCAGTTCCAAGAAGGAGCTTGGAATAGAGTGTCTACCAAGGCAGTGAGTGAGTAGTATAGCACATGCCCCTGGGATAGACAGACTGTGTGGGTGAGAGAGCCTGGAAAGCAGATTTAGTGCTGGTGAAGGTGTTGGGGCTTCATCATTTCTGCGTAAGAAAATGGACACATTTAAACTAGGATTCAGATGGGACAATTTTACCACATAGTTATGACTTAAATTGTTACTAGTGTATTAGTTTTATTAAAAAGAGTTGAAAAGCTGACAAAACCAAAAAAACCTGTAGCCGTTGAGTCGATTCTCAGAGTTGAAAAGCTGACTGACAGATTTTTTAAGTCTGTGAACCTTATTACGGCTTTTATTTTAAACAAGGAAACCTTAATGGATAGAATCAAGAAACAGCTGCGTGAATGGGATGAAAATCTAAAAGATGATTCTCTTCCATCAAATCCAATAGGTATTGAAAGTCATTTTCTTTCCTGTGGCCCTTATCTTGCTAAAAGAAATTATTTGATGTGCTTTCTATTTAATAAAACAAAATATTTTCGTTTATTTAAAACTGATGAATATTTTAATTAGGTCTGTAAAGCTTAGCATTTGAAAAATGAGTATTTTTTAAATGTAACAAAGTTCTTATATTCTGTGAGCATTCTAATTTTAGGCAAGGTTTCCATAAAAAGTTCAAATTGCAATAAAAGACTCCTCTCATCCAAAAATACTTCTTGAATGTAAAGATCTCCCTTTGCCTGTTCTTTAAGATGCCTTTAAAAAAAGCGATCCTAGTTCCAAGATTAACCTATTTACATATAACCTCTGTGTTTGCTTGTAAGGTTTAGTTTAGCTATTTTTCCAATCTTTTGGCAGATGAATGACTTTCTGTAACATGGATTTGATTTCATATTTTAAAGAAGACATTTACAAAGAAAGTTTGGGAAAAGAAGAGTTTCTTAAAACTATATGCTTGACAGCTGATGTACTTTAGTGTTGTATTTAACTGCATAAAATGTGTACTTTGGGAACCCTGTAGATAAGGGTTTAAGGAAGTTACCTGATGAGTTTAAAACTGAAAAACCCACAACGTTTTTAAGATTTTTCTTACAGAGTAGCTGCTTGTCTTCCTATTGATGATGTATTAAGAATTCAGCTTCTTAAAATTGGTAGTGCTATCCAACGGCTTCGCTGTGAACTAGACATTATGAATAAAGTAAGTAAATAATTACGCTTGTGACACACATGTGTAGTTGGTGTAGAGACCTAGGCTGCATTCTGGGGACCAGTAGTCAAACCATGAGAGCTGTCTGTAGGGTCAAGCTATGTAGTCATGCAGTTACACAAAAAGTGAATTGTTATGCTTTTCTCGGTTATAAATACTTAATCTAATGCCTGTATCTGATTAAACAATGAGTTTTCTACATCGTATATCTGTGGTTAGTTATCAGATGGTCACTATTCCTTTATCCTAGGTCATCATTTAGTTTTACAAGTGAGTATGTGGCAGATTCAGGGTTTTTCTTCTGTCTGTAAAACTTAAGTTTTTAAATGGTTGGAAGGAAAATATGGTATTTTGATATTCAGAGTGTGCAATATCATAGAAAAGTTTCTTGATGAGCTATGTAATTGTAAAATAAAATGAGTAATTTTCTCAAATTTTTAGTGTACTTCCCTTTGCTGTAAACAATGTCAAGAAACAGAAATAACAACCAAAAATGAAATATTCAGGTAAGATCTGTATTACATTTTCAGTATACTTCTGAATACGTTTTGCATCTGCCTTTTCAGAATTATAGTTAGATTGTATTTCCATTTTCTGTATACCACTCAGCAAATTAGAGGAATTAGCTCAGTTTGGGACAGGCAGTCTTCCTGACGGGGTACTCAGAGCAGCAGTGGCTGTGTAAGGTACTCATAGGTGATGAGGGTGGTAAAGGAAAACAACCGGGCATTAAGTTTCCCAACTCCTTTTCTCCCCCAGTCCTTGTTGAAAATCTATGTTAGAATATCTTTTTAGTGATTAAGGACCGAACATGAATGCCTCAGACAGAGAGAGAGAGAATCAGTTTTACCACATAGGGCCAAAGATAAAGTAGAATATCCTGAACATGTATGGATTATGCGATATAATAGTTTGAAAGTCATTTTATGACAAATTCACCAGAATTATAAATCAAGTAGGTAAAGAAACTGCTATCTGTAATCACCTGCCCAGGAATGACCACAATAGACCTCTGCATTGCATTAACACTGTCTGTCAGAGACCCCTTTAGATGAACTTGAGATCTGTGTATTTTACAGCCTATAATGATGAGGGAGGTTAAACTAGTACCTCTTCCTTTTGGGTCATTATGGAAAACATTCAGACTGAACAAAATATTGAAAACCAACTAAAAGGTGGTTGTTAGGTGCCAGTGAATCGATTCCAACTCATAAGTGACCCTGCATACAATCGAGTGAAACACTGCCCGGGTTCTGTGCTGCTGTCACAATCGTTACTGTGCTTAAGCCCACTGTTGCAGCCGCTGTGTCAGTCCATCTCATTTAGTAAGGGTCTTCTTTTTTTGCTGATCCTCTACCAAGTATGACGTCCTTCTTCAGGGATTGGTCCCTCCTGATAACATGTCCAAAATACATGAGATGAAGTCTTGCCATCCTTGCTTCCAAGCAGCATTCTGGCTGTACTTCTTCCAAGACAGATTTGTTCCTTCTCCTGGCAGTCCGTGGTATATTCAGTATTCTTTGCCAATACCATAATTCAAGGGCATCAATTCTTCTTTGGTCTTCCTTATTCATTGTCCAGCTTTCAAATGCATATGAGGCAATTGAAAATACCATGGCACACCTTAGTCCTCAAAGTGACATCTTTGTTTTTTAACACTTGAAAGAGGTCTTTTGCAGATTTTTCCCCATGCGAATACATTGTTTGATTTCTTGACTGCTGCTTCCATGGGCGTTGACTGTGGATCCAAGTAAAATCCTTGACAACTTCGATCTTTTGTCTTTAAAGCATTAAAAGAACTATATATTTCTTTCTTATACCAATATTATGTAAGGAGTTCATTTCTGCTTGGTGAACTTTAAAAAAAAAAAAAAAAATCCTCCATGTTGATTTTCTGTTTTAGTTTATCCTTATGTGGGCCGATGGCAGCTTACGTGAATCCTCATGGATATGTGCATGAGACGCTTACTGTGTACAAGGCCAGCAACCTGAATCTGATAGGCCGGCCTTCAACAGAGCACAGCTGGTTTCCTGGGTAATATTTATTATGGTGGTCTTTTTTTTTTTTTTGGCTGCATTGGTTAGAGAAGAACCAATCAAAAATAGACAATGAAATGAATAATTCAAATTCCATAAATGGGTAGAAACGGGTATCTTTTCCATAGTTTCACTGACTGTAAAGTGAGGGAGAAAGAAGGTTGGCAACTTAAGTTATTTTAAGCAAAATACTCTACAGTTTAATCCAAACTTACTTTGCTGTCATCCCAGTCTGAAAATTAATTACATGACCCAGTAAAACTGTATCTGGACCATATTCTGTAATATGTAAAACTAGAAAAAAGTTTCCTAAGCAATGATTGATAGACTAAAAAAGATGCAGAAACCACTGAAACCTGCTTTTCTTCTAATTAATTTTCATGACTTTTGTGCTAAAATTAGCCCAGTGGTTCTCAAAGTGTGATCTCCAGAGCACCAGAGTAGCAGCATCACCAGAGAATTTGTTAAGAGTCCACCAGCCATAGAACCATATTTATCATTTGTTTCAAATTCTGGATCCGCCTTTTATTTTGAGAGAGGCAGGCTGAGTAGATAAGCAGCTATATTTTTCTGTTCTGGACCTTGTCCCTTGGATTGTCCCATTTTGTTTGGTACGCTTAAGGATTAAAACTAGAATAAACTTGTTAATATAAATACTAAATATTGGATACTATACCTAGGAATAAAGGAAATTACTACAATACGTATTTCTGGTTAAATTATCTAGCAATATCCTTTTTATTTGAGAATAGCACTTAAATTTTTTTTGGGGGGGCTGTGTGGGGGGAGATGATGTTGCATAGAAGATTAACTAAGACCTAAGTAAGTGCATATTTCTTCAAGTGGTTGCTGTTTTCTAACCTGACTGCAGTACAAAACAAAGGAAAAGCAGGTTTAAGGTTTTGAATGTAGCCTTGGCACCAGCAATTTGTGTAAAAGACTTCATTTAATAAAATTACTCTCTTCTTTTTCTTTGCCTTGGAGAAAAAAATTAAGCATAGCTTATGAGAGCATAGGTCACTATATTTAAAGAAAGACTGATGTATTACCATAATGAAACATACAAATTAGAAAATTGTTTTAAAAACTGGTTTCAGTGAACTATACCAATCAAATCTCGGCTCATAGTATTTGGTTTAATTAGGTTTATCTGATGATAGACTTTGGGTCCACAAATGTGTTTCCTTAGGTGATACTTTTCCTTAATTTTCTAGGTATGCCTGGACCATTGCCCAGTGCAGGATCTGTGCAAGTCATATTGGATGGAAATTTACAGCCACCAAAAAGGACATGTCACCTCAAAAATTTTGGGGTTTGACTCGTTCTGCTCTGTTGCCCACAATCCCAGACACTGAAGATGAAGTAAGCCCAGACAAAGTAATACTTTGCTTGTAAACAGATATGTATGGTGGGGATAGTTATTTAACAAGCTGGTATTTTTAAATCAGATCTGCTTTGAAAATGTGTTGCCTCTGATTCATGCCTGAGTAAACAGCACCATTACATGGAGGGCTGTAGTTTCTTAGTCACGCCATGTATGAGACGATGAAAAACAATCTAGAATGTAAGCAAGCTCAGTTTCAGGAATCTATTTCAGTAGCTTGGTACCATCTCATTGACAGATCATGAAGGTATCCTTGAAAGTGATGACATTGTTTCTTGTACAAATAAAATATAGGAATGTTTTAAATTCCTGTAACGTGAGACTAGTCATTTGGTCCTAAGATATGGGCCAGCATATTTATATCAGTGCTCCTGAAAGCTAGGGTGCCAAGCACTCAAGTACATGTTCCTTTCTGAAAGAGGCAAGTCGGTGTATATTATAAGGGCTTTGTTCCTTTTAACTCTGTTTAGCTTCTCTGAGATACTGATCTGTAAATCTTGAAAATATTAAAGAGTTAAAATATGCAGTTTAAGCCCAGAAATAAAGTTGTCATTTCCTTTAAGTGAGAAATAGTACTTTGTGTATTTGCTCAGTGTTTGTTTGACCCATAACTGTAGTTACTGTTCTGTACCTAAAAGCTGTTTTTCAAAAAGCAAGCCTTAATTTGAACCGAAACTATTGTGGGGCAGACATGCTAAATAACCTACCTGCTTCATACAGGCTAGAAGTGGTATTATTGTATTTTGTTCAGTGTAAATTGAAGAAAATCTGTAAGTAAACTTCTTCACTAAATTAAACATGTTTTGTTTAAATAATGTAAATATCTACTCATAAGCAGATAATCTAGGTGTAAGAAATAATGTTTTTAAGATACTAAGTGCTAGATAGATAGATAGTAGACTGATTTGCCACCTACCTCTTTGCTTATAAGTTGATCTTTTCACATTTGTGTAATATTGATATTCCTTCATAATTCAGTGGGAAAAAATTAAATAGGATTAAAACTTTGAATCAAACATAGTGTGAGGCCAAAAACTGACTGTCATTATGTTTTATTTTTTTTTCAACCAAACACGCAATGGTTTACTGATTGCCTTGACCGAAAATGAGTATCATGTTGCAAATTTCTGTAGATAGTAAATGAAAAGCAGCTCAAGAATGCTGTTAATTGCTTAAGGTATGTCTGCAGCCTTATTTGATATGCCTGTCCAAGACTGTCATTTTTTTCCTAAGCTCTATTACTACTGATGATAATAACCTTGTGTTTATAGAATCTATCGCTCTGGTAACTTCACTGGTTGTTCATATAGTCTTAACACTGAACTAAAAACTAAATGCTATGTATGCTCCAGGGAGTTCTTTTCAGCATAAATCTAAAGCAGTTACAGTGAGAAACCATTGTTTTACCTGTGCCCCAGAGTGTAATCTCAGAATGTTCTATATTACTTGCTGACATTCACAAATAAATCTTTCCAGTATATAAAAACACACATATATAACACTATTTTTAAGGTGTTTTACACATTACAGCGGAATCTGCACACTTCCTATACAGAATAGTAGGAATTCTATGATGTTGGGTCTGAATATTTCAACAGATTTCTTATAATACTACATTATTTCTGAGGCCCCCTTTCTTGCAACATAGCTCCTGTTAACCTAAGTTTTGCCACACTTCCTCTTAGCTGGGCTTTAACAGAAATATTTATGCATTTATAATTGGATATCTATATGCAAAAAACTGAAACAAAACCCGTATCTCACACCATGTACAAAAACTAACTCAAAATGGATCAAACACTTATGCTTATCCAAAGACTTCACCAAAAGAGTAAAAAGACAACCTACAGACTGGGAAAAAATTTTTGGTTATGACAAATCCAGTCAGAGTTTAATCTCTAAAATCTACAAGATACTGCAAAACCTCAACAGCAAAAAAGACAAATAATCCAATTAAAAAATGGGCAAAGGATATGAACAGGCACTTCACCAAAGAAGATATTCAGGCAGCTAAAAGACACATGAAGAAATGCGGCTCAAAATGACAATGAGATACCATCTTACCCCAGCAATGCTGGCACTAATCCAAAACACACAAAATAACAAATGTTGGAGAGGTTGTGAAGAGACTGGAACACTTATACACTGTTGGTGGGAATGTAAAATGGTACAACCACTTTGGAAATCGATTTGGCACTTCCTTAAAAAGCTAGTAATAGAAGTACCATACGATCCAGCTGTCCCGCTCCTTGGACTATATCCTAGAGAAACAAGAGCCATCACACGGGTAGATATATGCACACCCATGTTCATCGCAGCACTGTTCACAATAGCCAAAAGATGGAAGCAACCTAAGTGCCCATCGAGGGATGAATGGATAAACAAACTATGGTATATCCACACAATGGAATATTATGCAACGATAAAGAACAATGATGAAGCTGTGAAACATCACATAATTTGGTGGGAGCTAGAACTTATTATGCTGAGTGAATTTAGTCAGTCACAGAAGGACAAATGTTGTATAAGACCACTATTATAAGAACTCAAGAAAAGGTTAAAACACAGAAGAAAACATTCCTTGATGGTTATGGGGGTAGGGAGGGAGGGTGAGGGTTATTCACTATCTAGATAGTAGATAAGAATGATCTTTGGTGAAGGGAAGGACAGCACACACTA